TGTAGTGTCGTGCTTCAGCTGATACAGCGTTCACTTTATACGGGTGCAGAGGTCTGTGAAGGGGGGTTCGGACCCTTCCAATAGTCGTTCCTTTGAACTGCCAAATTAGACAAATTCTTTGAAAACCAAATGCATCAGAAATGTTAGGAATAAATCAACTTTCAGTGAGTAAGATCAGCACCTGAATACCCAAAGGTATATAAACCTTGATGTTTCTCAACCCGCATTGAATAAAAACAAGAGAAGGCATTTTTATATCTATGTTACGTGAGGTGATTAGTGCCTGTGATAGTGTGTGTTGCAGTTTGAGGACAATAAATGAGACCAACAGTCTCGATCGACCAATCAAAAGCCAGGAGCTCTATGACGAGGAGAACACGAACAGCGATAGGCTGGTGAATGTTTAGCCAATGATATCTTTAGGTGTTATTTAATCCTGCTAATAAAAGAATGCTACATCGGTGGCCGTCTACCCGCGTCTCGTTAACGGTAGACTTCATCAGAAGACTACCTCCATTATTCTGTGAATGAACTGCGATGGTGATTGTTGCTCCGCGATCCAAAATTCGTGTTTATTCTTAATACTTTATTATGCTTTTATTCTTTGTAGTCGGTTAATATAATCTATTTTCGTAAACTGTGGGAGTATGTGGATTGTGTCCCGAGGAAGAATTCCCTGACTGAATATTCAACTATTTAAGTGCAATAGCACTGCTTTTCGCGTGAGGAACATATTGTAAAGTGCCTGCTCTGCTGAAAAGCTCAAAGTTTAATGATGAATTTACTCTCAACTTTTTTATTTACCGTATATTGTAAAGAATAACGATTTTTCAACGAATGAAAGAAAAATTGAAAATTTGCTGGCATAAGTTAGTAGCGCAATTTTTTATTCAGTTAATACTATAACCTGATAAGATTTATTCGTATAAATGTCACATAATAAGTTTGCCGTTTTGAAGTCTTATATTTCGTGAAAGTGATAAACTGTGGAATATTAAACCACTCTACTTCACTGCCCGGAAGTCCAGTGCGTAGTCAATGTGTTTGTGATTTATGCATGAAGTCCCTGGTTCCATCGGAGGACTCTCACCACAGATGATTTTCAGCAAGGTTGAAATAGCCTTGTACTGCATTGAGTCTTTTCAGTTCAGTCTCTTGAAATGAGACCAAATGCATCTAATACGTAATTACGATTCGACGGCAGCTACTTGTGAGTAGTGGTGTGAGATAAATATTATAATGCATTTCAGCTGAACATCATCCAGATCTCAACACGAATAGACTTCATTTAATTTAGTAATCCAAATATATGTTAAACGGGAAAAACAGAAATTCGTGTGAAGATAAAAAGTTGAAATATGCTTAGTTTCAATTGGTCATAATTTATTAATTGTACAAATGAAATTTCAAGTGAGTAAGGGAAGATTTGATTCAATTTCAAAGGTAAATCCGTCGTGCATATAGCAAATGAAGCATGAACTACAAAGCTAGGAAGCAGTGAACAGCTGTTTCGACCTGGTTGGGTCTCATCAGTAGTGCAAATCCATCTATCCAACTGGGGATCGAACCCCGGACCTTACAGGCAGAACGCAAGTATAATACCGACTTGGCCCCCGGGCAGCTGATCAGACCGTCTTTCATTTTCCACTTGCACGATACAGCACTACCCATCTTTGCGGGCTTTTGCGGGCCTCAGACAGCAATGAGCTCGCAAAGATGGGTAGTGCCGTATCGTGAAAATGGAAAATGAAAGACGGTCTGATCAGCTGCTCGGGGGCCGAGTCGGTACTATACTTGCGTTCTGCCTGTAAGGTCCAGGGTTCGATCCCCAGTTGGATTGATGGATTTGCACTACTGATGAGACCCAACCAGGTCCAAACGGCTGTTCACTGCTTCTTAGCTTTTCAGTTCATGCTTCATTTACTATATGCACGACGAATTCACCTTTGAAATGAAAGTTATTCGAAATTTGATGATGTTTTTCAGCCCTGTTTACCAACCGATATTTCATTGTGAATTTGTATGACTATTCCAACGTGAAGCAAGCAGATCTTACCAGAATAGATAATTCATGTGGCTGGAATCACGTGACGTCAGTCGACCAGAATCGATTGGAAGCCTTTCGATTACGGTTTCGAGAATGTGGTTGTAAGGGTGTTAGTGTGTGCTAAGAATGGCCCGTATTACAAGTGGAACTGCACAGGAACAACAATGTTTAAAAGAGCAGATTGAGAAAGAGGAAGGTGCAGCGCTACGTTTTTTCCTCAAAACTCTAAACTGGCCCAAAGCCCCATATGGATCATCTGTTCTACGAAAGAAACTCGAACGAATTCAACTGGATGATTCCGAATGTCGCAAAGTGCTTGCAGAAGTGAAGCGACGAAATGAAAATCGTTGCTTAGCCGAAGAACAACGAAAAAAAGTAATAAAGCCAGTTATGACGCCCGAAGTTTTACCGGAACAACTCAATATGAGACCTCCATCACCAAGTACCAAAGCTCTGTTGTACGAGGGTACGTCTCATGAAGGTCGTGGTAGGTGAGTGTTCAGGCTGAGCCTGATTTTTTCCACCGTTTTATTTTGCGAAACTAAAAGCACAATTGAAAGATAACGTATAGTTTCACCAGATGTTTCTCGTTAAAAGTCCAGCTGTACCCCATGAGCGTCATGTGCATACGATTTTCCCACATGATATCGCCTGTTTGATTAGTGCACCAAGCACTGTGGATGCAGTCACTTAAAATGTGGCCCTATTCAGCGTGAACATTGCTCGATCCTCATGAACGCTTCTGATGTCAAAGTGAATGTCATTCACTGCAGTCTTGAGGTCTAAAGGTCACAAAATTGCTGTGTTTATTTAGTTGCGATGGCCGAGCACATCGAGTTAGAGGATACTGATATTGTGTTGGACTTGAAAACGAACTTCAAACAAAGTCAAAACGTTGTCATAGCTTATTTATGTTCTGTTTTCTATCTGTTGTTACTGTCACAAACCAGTTTACTGGATCCTCTTTATCCATCGCATCTATCAAGACATCATATTAAATACGACACTCAATGCTATCACTATGGTTCAGAACTACACAGTGTTACGGAATTATGTTCGCCGGAATACTAGCTCCTTAGGTAGATCCACAGTCTCCCAGATCAAAATGCGAGATAACAGTAATGTGGCTTACTGAGAGAAGAATTCTTTTTTAAGTTCCGCCAGAGAGTAAAGAAGTTCGATGTTCTTTAGTAAACTGGTATTTTTGGACTATTTTTCATTTCAATATGATATCTTTTTATTACAAACATTTGTTTGATGAACAGCAGACGGAGTGGAAAAAGTATTCACGAAGACTTGCTGTTCATTTTTGGACACCGACGAGATGTGGGTGATATTGAACAGGACGGCCGAAAAGCTGCTTACCGCTAAAGTTGGGTACTGATGGTGGCAAGGTTACTTCATCATTCAAACAATGGGTATGGATAAATTTTGGTTGAAAATTCATCTAATATTATTACCTAGAAGTCTTAGCCGTTATTTTCGTTAAATGTCATCCGACAGGACAGCTGTGGCAAAATCACAAACGGGATCGAAGCATAAAACTCAGTGATAAAATCGTGGAACAGATAGCTGATCAAGCTGGTGTTAGAGTCA